AAGCACTTAAAAAATACTGAAGGTATGGGGAAAAAGGTTATTTCTGTCTAAAGGTATCAAAGGTTTGATAGTTCAATATGTGCAAGTATAAAAACTACAAGTTTTAGTTTTACAAATTGGAGATTGTGTTATGGTGTTCCATGTCTAGGCTGGGCCCTGGCAGCTTTTGTCTGAATGGGTCCCATTTTCCCCAAACATGCGTATTCTCCTCATCTAACTCTTTAATGATCTCCTATACAAAATGCCTTGAGATAATGTACTGTATGTTATGATTTGGCGCTATGCAGATAAAATTGAATTTGTAAGAAAGCTAATGAGCACACGTCTCAAAGCATCCCGTTGTCCGTTCAAACACAAACAGTATATTAAACAGGATATAGAACACAACTTAACTATTTGTAAGATATACTGTATAAACATGAAATAGATGTAATCAAAATTTCACATTAACAGAAATATGTTTAGTGCAACAATTCTGTTCATGCAGTTTGACAGATTATAGAGCTAAGTGACCAATACGTCAAACACCATCACTACAAAAGAAACGGCTAAAGAAAAACAATGAGTACATTTGTGACAAATCCTCCCATATAACTCTTTAAAATCTCACAGTTTGATCCATGTGTTTCAATGGAAGTTAAAGTCATTAGTGTGCGAAGGAAGTCAGCAGGAAGTCAGCCAGCTCAGCCACATAAGCTCTCTAATGTTCATGCTCGATGGGCCCAAAAATGTGAAGGCATAAAAGGCATTTACAGCTAATGCTCTTGTGAATGATTAAGGAACCATATTAGAGAACAGAATTTCCCTACGCACATTCACATGGAGTCTGTGTCCAGAGACTTTAAGGAGGATGTTGAATCAGAGTCAGTCGTCACAATGTCAGTTTATGTAACATGGAAGATGGTGCTAAGATGTTAAAATGTTAATAATGGTGCTAATCATGCATTTAACAGAGGGTGGAGATAACTGTCCTATTTGGTCTGAGGAGAGATGAGAGTTGAACCTCAGCTATGCAGAAAGAGTATGAATGTGTGATAGAAAACGTGCTCTGTATTTATAAGCCCTGTGTGAATGTGTGAATGTGATTTGTACTGTAAAGCGCTATCAGTGGTGAATAAGACTGGAACGACACTTTATAAATACAGTCCATTTACCACTGCTCATAGTTGACGTTCACTTCTCTGGTTAGAATGGGGAGGGAAGCCATGCAGTGGTGCGTCTGTCAGCCCATGATCAGTGATAATCAATGTCTTTTTCACCCACAGGTAAAGGATGTGGTGGGCTATGACACACTAGGCCACTGTTTCTTCACGGAGGATGGTCCAGAGGAGAGAAACACGTTCGACCACTGTCTGGGTCTGATGGTTCGAGCAGGGACGCTGCTGCCTTCAGACAGAGATAGCAAAATGTGCCGTGACATCACTGACGGAGCGTACCCAGGATATGTGGCCAACCCACGCCAAGACTGCAGGTAAGAACATATGACCTCTGTCCAGTGCTGAAGTTTGATAATGATGCGAAGCACATTAAGAATATTGTCTTTGAGGGAGCAGTGCAGCCATAATAAATGAGTTTCCTCTGATGTAGAGACTGACACAGCACTTCTAACTATTATATGGCTATTAAGATTCTTCTTTATGGTCCCACACACAGCATGCAACATGCAAACATGGGGAAAGGTGACCTCTGTATTTAACCCATCCGTGTGAACGGAGCACACACGGAACACAGTGACCACACACGGAAAAGTGGGCAGCCATGAAGGCGCCCAGGGAGCAATTGGGGGGTTCGGTGCCTTGCTCAAGGGCACCTTGGCAATGCCCAGGAGGTGAACTAGCACCTCTCCAACTTCCGTCCATGCTGGACTTGATCCGGCCACCCTCTGCTTCCCAAGCCAAGTCGCTATGGACTGAGCTACTACCTCCCTAATATTATATAACTATTTGTTTTCTCACACAGGGTTGTCTTAAGAGACAATACAAAATGTGTCATATACAACAGGGGCAGAACTTTTAACCATTCAGGATTTGTTCATGAACTTCACAGTTATGTAGATCAGGTAGTGAACGGCAGCCTTTTGATATTTGGGGGATGAAAAAAAAGCACCACTCTCCCTGTTACAAGTCATTGTACCATGGAAATGCATAATGCTTTAATCTCAAGCTCCAAATCTCTTAAAGCACCCGAGTGCTGTTACTGCGTCAAAGTGAGTCACTTTCTCTCTGCCACAGCACTTTTCATAGGTTAGAATAATTACATGAAATGCCTCACATCTGTATATTTCCTTCATCTGAAGCTATAAAATGAACAAAGATGTAACTGTGGAACAAGACACATTCACATGCAAACAGAGAGACAGCAATGAAACTTTTAAAGGTGATAGTTCTGTTTGAATCAGAGAGACTGACCAGAAGAGCCAACAAACAAACAATTTTCTCTAATGTCTCAAAGACACAAAAAACAAATAATTAGAAGAGTCAGAAGCTTCTGTTGAAAAGAAAGTCACACTGCCAAAGAGCAGAAAGGATAAAACTAATTTGCAGTCGCTAATGATCTTTTCAGTTTGACAGAAACACACAGACACACACAAAGACACACTTAAGTTTGACTCTATGGTGCCTTTTTGTTACAGTCCGTCTGTGTTTGTGACGTTTATGAATATGTGAGTATTGCAGCACCTGCAATTACTTCACACCTATTAAATTTGTTGATGGCATTTTCAATTATCCGCCAACATTGTAAAGGTCAGCAAGTGCTCTGTTACGCAACCTGCATTCACACATATCAATGAAATAACAAACAAAGTAAAAACAAAACTTTCAAACTCAAGCATACTATGATTCAAACAACTGGTAATTGTACAAATGTACGACAGCCAATGAACTTGCCAAATATGTTGATTAACATATCCACATTAGGTTAATAGAAAAATTAATTGAATTGCTATTAGGTTTTCTTCACAATGTATCGGAAATTGTAGTTTAATAAAATTTGTATATAAACATAATATCGAGAGTTCCAAAGTAACCTCCCCATGAGTGAGAGATACATACACAGCTCTTTCCACTTAAAGTAATATCTGATGTACTTCATAATAAATATCCTAAATCAGATTATAAAACACTGGCTGAGGCTTTACATACAATTTTGATTTTGGCTTGCCATCATCAGATTCACTGTCAAAAGTATTTCAGGGAATTCCATCTGTAAGTCCATAGTTCCAAACAGGAACAAATATTTAACCTGATATTTTCAGGTGATTTGGAAACATATTGCCTGCAGTGTGCAGGATAAAGCTTGGGCAAGTGATACATATTTATCTCATGTTACATTATTGAAGCTTGTAGTTTTGAAATCTTTGACTTTGAGAGTCAAATGGAAACTTCCCACTTCTACTGCTCTATTTAATTCTAATTAATCATGTCAAGAGCTGGAGGAGTACTGATACCAATAGAGGAGGAATCCTCGAACATCAGCCAATTTCGACCTATCAGTCCCCTCAATGTAGAAGGCAAGCTCTTCTTTCACATCATAGCCCAAAGGCTGGTGGATACAACGGTCCAAAAAGCTGGAATTCCAGGGTTCTCTGGATGTTTAGAACACATTAGCATGATCTGGCACCAAATCCAATCAACTAAGAGTGAGAAGAGAGATCTACATGTCATCTTCATTGATCTCACTAATGCATTTGGGTCAGTACCACATAGTGTACTCTGGGCTGCTTTCAACTTCTTCTAAGTATCAGAGTCCATAACAAATTTGAATAAAGCCTTCTTCGAAGATCTGCAATTCTGCTTCACCACACCAGATTTTACCACCATATGCAGCGCCTCCATGAAGCCCATCATGGATGGCTGCGCTATGGCGATGGAGGTTATTATTAGAGCTTCAGAAAGGGTGGTAGATGGCGATAGACAAAACTTGGGGTCTGATTAACATCAATCAGGGCCTACATGGACAACATGACAACCCTGACCACAACAGCACCATGCACCAGACGGTTGCTAGGGAAACTTGCAGACAACATTACATGGGCCAGAATGAGGATCAATCCATCAAAATCAAGAAGCATCTCAAATGAGCAAAGTTAAGATATCAGACTGTAGGTTCTACATAAATGGAGAACCCCTTCCAACAGTGTCTGAGAAACCAATAAAAAGCCTTGGACGATGCTATGATGCAAGCCTCAAAGACTGCGAGCAGGTCCAGCAACTGAAGCAGGATGTCAACAGAGGTCTTAAGAACATCTACCAGTCCATACTTCCTGGCAAACTAAATCTCTGGTGCTTACAGTTTGGCCTTTCCCCCAACTAATGTGATCACTTACAGTAGTTGACTTTCTCCTCACAAAAGTTAAGAACATGGAGAGATCAATTCCAATGTGAGAAAGTTGTCAGGCGTCCAAAGATGTCTGAGCAACATTGGCCTATATGGACACGGCATTCTCGAGCTACCTATCTCAAAGTTTCATTGTGAGTTTAATCCACCAAAACAAGGCTGGAGATGACCCTCTCAGAGTCCAAAGACAAATCTATACAGGCTGTTGGACCATAACTGACAACAGGATGGAAATGGACACCAAAAGATGCAGCTCAACAAGCAAAAGCAACACTCAAGCATGCTGACTTGTGGGCCACGCTCAACATGGAATAGGAGGTTTGGGCCTAGGTCAGAGTAGACCCCTTAGGAACAAAGCAATAATTATTTTATACCAGAGAAAATTGGTAGTCCTGGAAATCCAGCGTCAGGGAGAGGCAATCAGATGTGCGAAGGCTGTCACTCAAGCCAGAAAGGATAAAAACAGTGGATAAAATGAGAAAACATAGAGGATAGAAAGATCAGCTGAAAGGACCTGTGGGGAATGGAAGCAAGCAGGATTAGCTTCCTGCTTAGAGCACCATACAACATCCTTCCATCACCAAAAATCCTACAGCCGTATGAAGATCCATCCTGCCCACTAAGCTCAACCCCAGCTACCCTCAGGCACATCCATTTAAAAAGACATAGAGGTAAAGATGTCTGATCTACTGGCCACATGGCTTTCATAGTACTGCCATACAAGCCAGTAGTCAGATTTACCTGGTAGTTGGTCATTTAAGAAGACCTTCAACGCACAAGGGAAAGTCATCATGCTGTCCTAAATTCTAAAATCAAAAAATGAACTTTTACACGGCTGTTTACATGATTAATATACTTGGTTCATATATAGCTTTTTTCATATACTTTCGTGAGCAACTTCACATCGTACACAAATTGCAGAACTATAGAAAACAGTTTAAATTAATTCTTAAGATCCTGCCAGCTGGATGGAGTTTTCATGCTCTCCCTGTAAATGCGTGGTTTTCCTCTGAGCGTAGTACAAAAACAGGCTCAGGCTCCCCCTCAACCTGAGCTGTTTATGGAAGACCCCACCCCCATGTCCCAGCCATAACCTATTACATGCTACCAGAGAGGCTGCTGGAAAATTGAAACTTTTTCAATTTGCAGTCACCAGAAAAGATACACACACACACACACACACACACACACACACACACAAACAACAACGGCACCCTGAATTCTGAGTACAGCTCCAGATGTCTTGCTTTTAGCTTCTTACATAAGTTACAAGTGGTTGCCTTATTTAGTTGTAGAAATGCTCTGAGACACTGTTTGCATACTGTTGCAGTCGACCTGCTGCTGCACCTGGACTTGCCACCATGTGTTGTGATTGTTACTGTCTGCCTTCATTTGTCTTCCCTTTGCATTTCACATCAGACTGAAACACAGGGTTTTTAGCTGCCCTCTTCAGTTTTTATCTCTCCCCTAACTCTATCCATAGGTATAGTTATGTACATATATGTTTTTTGACTAACTTGTCATTCATGTCTTTATTTTAGCCTGTTTTGTGATCTGAAATCAATCAGAGCCACCTCATGAGATGAGTCAGACAGATCCTGACTCATCTCCCTTAGCAGTGATGTTTTTTTTATGTGAGATTTAAAATGTGCGGAGGATAAGCCCACACTATGTTTGCTATGAATAATGTCTGTCTTCCTTGGACGACTGCAGTAATATGAGTTCTCAGGCTGAGTCTGCATCCAGCCTTTACATCTGTCAGTGTGTAGAGACTCTCTAAGCCATTTGTTGATTAAAGTTTGCTTAGCTCAAGTCTGTAAGCCATGAGTGACTATGCAGATATGGCAGGGTGAGCTTCAGGATTTGACGTCAGCACAATCCTTCCTCATGTCTAACAGCATAGGTGGTACACACCTACTCTAAGATTGTTGTTACTTAATGTGAACACAGTAACAAAGGACAACATAAGAGGACTAAAATCTTCCAATTGCTACAATAGCAGACAGAATAAGTCACTTTGTATTCTACATAGTCCCTCCAGATGAGGAGCTTTAATTTTAAAGACTAGGGCCCAAAAGGTCTAGCACCATGTTAACTAGAAAACTGCAGTCTCAGCCGGGGTTGTCAAGCTCC